AACGTATCTCAAAGTAATAAAAGCTATTTATGACAAACCAACAGCCAATATCATACTGAATGGGCAAAAACTGAAAGCATTCCCTTTGAAATCTGGTACTAGACAAGGATGCCCTCTCTCACCACTCCTATTCAATATAGTACTGGAAGTTCTAGCCAGAGCAATCAGGCAAGAAAAAGAAATAAAGGGTATTCAAATAGGAAAGGTGGAAGCCAAATTGTCTCTATTTGCAGACGACATGATAGTATACCTAGAAGACCCCATCGCCTCAGCCCAAAAACTCCTGAAACTGATAAACAACTTCAGCAAAGTCTCAGGATATAAATCAATGTGCAAAAATCACAAGCATTCGTCTACACCAACAACAGACTTAAAGAAAGCCAAATCAAGAGCGAACTGCCATTCGCAATTGCTACAAAAAGAATAAAATACCTTGGAATACACTCACAAGGAACGTAAGGGACCTCTTCAAGGAGAACTACAAACCACTGCTCAACGAAATCAGAGAGGACACAACAGATGGAGAACATTCCATGTTCATGGTTAGGAAGAATTAATATCGTGAAAATGGCTATACTGCCCAAAGTAATTTACAGAATCAACGCTATCCCCATCAAGCTACCATTGACTTTCTTCACAGAACTGGAAAAACCCACCATGAACTTCATATGGAACCAGAAGAGAGCCCGCATAGCCAAGTCAATTCTAAGCAAAAAGAACACAGCGGGGGCATCACACTACGGATTTCAAACTATACTACAAGGCTACAGTAATCAAACAGCATGGTACTGGTACCAAAACAGAGATATAGACCAATGGAACAAAACAGAGGCACCGGAGGCAACACAACATACATACAACTATACAAACTTTGATAAACCTGACAAAAACAAGCAATGGGGAAAGGATTCCATGTTAACAAATGGTGTTGGGAAAACTGGCTAGCCATGTGCAGAAAGCAGAAACTGGACCCCTTCCTGACACCTTACACTAAAATTAACTCCAGATGGATTAAAGACTTAAACATAAGACCTGGCACCATAAAACCCTAGAAGGAAATCTAGGCAAAACTATCCAGGACATAGGAGTAGGCAAGGACTTCATGAACAAAACACCAAGAGCATTGGCAACAAAAGCCAAAATAGACAAATGGGACCTAATGAAACTCCACAGCTTCTGCACGGCAAAAGAAACAGTCACTAGAGTGGATCGGCAACCAACAGAATGGGAAAAAATTTTCGCAGTCTACCCATCTGACAAAGGGCTGATATCCAGAATTTACAAACAACTCAAGCAGATTTACAGGAAAAAAACAAACAAGCCCATTCAAAAGTGGGCAAAGGATATGACAGATACTTTACGAAAGAAGACATATATGAGGCCAACAATCATATGAAAAAATGCTCATCGTCACTGGTCATCAGAGAGATGCAAATCAAAACCACATTGAGATACCATCTCACGCCAGTTAGAATGGCGATCATTAAAAAATCTGGAGACAACAGATGCTGGAGAGGATGTGGAGAAAAAGGAACACTTTTACACTGTTGGTGGGAGTGTAAATTAGTTCAACCATTGGGAAGACAGTGTGGCGATTCCTCAAGGCCTTAGAAATAGAAATTCCATTTGACCCAGCAATCCCATTACTGGGTATATATCCAAAAGACTATAAATCGTTCTACTATAAGGACACATGTACACGAATGTTCATTGCAGCACTGTTTACAATAGCAAAGACCTGGAATCAACCCAAATGCCCATTGATAATAGACTGGATTGCAAAAATGTGGCACATATACACCATGGAATATTATGCAGCAATCAGAAATGATGAGTTCGTGTCGTTTGTAGGGACATGGATGAATCTGGAAAACATCATCCTCAGCAAACTGACACAAGAACAGAAAATGAAACACCGCATATTCTCACTCATAGGTGGGTGATGATAAATGAGAACACATAGACACAGAAAGGGGAGTACTAAACACTGGGGTCTATTGGGGGGAAAAGGGGAGGGCCAGTGGGAGGGGGAGGTGGGGAGGGATAGCCTGGGGAGAAATGCCAAATGTGGGTGAAGGGGAGAAGAAAAGCAAAGCACACTGCCATGTGTGTACCTACGCAACTGTCTTGCATGCTCTGCTCATGTACCCAAAACCTATAATCCAATAAAAAATTAAAAAAAAAAAAAAAAAAAAAGAAGTGAAAGATCTCTACGACAAAAATTATAAAACACTGATGCAAGAAATTGAAAAGTAAACATTATATGGAAAGATATTCCATGTTCATGGATTGAAAGAATCAATATTGTTAAAATGTTCATATTACCAAAAAGCAATCTGCATATTTTATGCAATCCCTATCAAAATACAAATGACATTCTTCACAGAAATGGAAAGAAAATCTTAAAATATATATAAAACAAACAAACAAACAAAAACCAGAATAGCCAAAGCTATTTTGAGCAAAAAGAACAAAACTGGAGGAATCACATTTCCTGACTTCAGATTACACTGCAGAGCTGTAGCAACCAAATAGTAAGTTACTATAATAAAAACAGACTCCTAGACCAATGGAAAAGAATAGAGAACCTAGAAACAACAAATTCATATGTCTACAGTGAACTCATTTTTGAAAAAGTTTTCACAAACATGTATTGGGAAAACTGGATGTCCGTATGCAGAAGAATGAAACTAGACTTCTGTCTTTCACCGTTTACAAATATCAGATAAAAATCAATTAAAGACAAATCTAAGACCTCAAATTATGAAATTACTGGAAGAAAACACTGGGGAAACTCTCCAGGACATTGGACTGGGCAAAAATTCCTTGAGTAACATCCTACAAGCACAGACAATCAAAGCAAAAATAGACAAATGAGACTACATCAAGCTATAAAACTTTTTCACAGCAAAGAAAACAATCAGGAAGGTGAAGAGACAACCCACAGAATGGGAGAAAATATTTGCAAACTACCCATCCAACAACAAATAAATAAACAGAATATATATGGAGTTCAAAAATTTCATAATCCAATTAAAAATGGGCAAAATATCTGAATAGACATTTCTCAAAAGAGGACAAATGAATGGCAAACAGATATAGGAAAAGGTGTTGAACATCACTGATAATCAGAGAAATTTAAATCAAAACTAAAAGGAGATATCATCTCACCCCAGTTAACATGGCTTTTATTTAAAAGTCAGGCAATAACAAATGCTGGCGAGGATGAAAATAAAACACATAAAAAGTGGGAAAGGACATAAACAGACACTTCTCCAAAGAAGACATACAAATGGCCAACAAACATGAAAAAATGCTTAACATCTTTAATCATCAGAGAAATGCAAATCGAAACCACAGTAAGATGCCATCACATACCAGTCAGAATAGCTACTATTAAAAAGTCAAAAAGTAACAGATATTGGTAAGGTTGCAGAAAAAAGGGAACCCTCTTACACTGTTAGTGGGAATGTAAATAATACAAACATCATGGAGTAGAGTTTGAGAGTTCCTCAGAAAACTAAAAATAGAGCTACCATATGATCCAGCAATCCTACTTCTAGGTATATGCCCAAAAGAAAGAAAATCAACATATTGAAGAGATACCTGCCTTCCCATGTTTATTGCAGCAGGATTCACAATAGCCAAGATTTGGAAGCAACCTAAGTGTTCATCAACAGATGAATGGATAAAGAAAATGTGGTACATATATACAAAGGACTATCACTGGAACATAAAGTAGAATGAGATCCTGTCATTTGCAACATTGATGGAACTGGAGGTCATATTAAGTTAAATAAGCCAGGCACAGAAAGAAAAATGTCACATGTTACCACTTATATGTGGGAGCTAAAAAGTAAAACAAACTCATAGAGTTCAATTTTCCTATACTTATTTGTGGGAGTTAAAAAATAAAACAATTAAACTCATGGAATTAGAGAGTAGAATGATGATTACCAGAGACTGAGAAGGATAGTGGAGGAGTGAGTGCTTGAGGGGAATTGGGGATTGTTAATGGCTATGAAAAACACAAAGAATGAATAAGACCTAGTATTTGCTAGCACAATAGGGTAGCTATAGTCAAAAATAATTTAATTGTACATTTTAAAATAAAAGTATAATTGGATTATTGGTAACACAAATGATAAATTCTTGAGGTAATAGATACCCCATCTACCAAAATGTGATGATTATGCATTGCCGGCATGTATCAAAATATATCATGTAATACATAAACATATATACCTACTATGTACCCATAAAAATTAAAATAAATTTAATAAGCTATTTTATCCAATTTTTCATTATTATAAGTTTATGAATAATACCACTAAACATAAATCTTTCTTCTCATTTATAATTATTTCCATAGGATGGAATCCTAGAAGCAAAATTACTGGTATAAATTTTTTAAAGGGTCATTGGATAAAGCCCAATAGTTTTCCAGAAAATTTAACAAATAGCTACGTGAGGGCCTGCTGTATGCCAGATATTGTTTCAGGTAGATTATATTATACCAATTTTACAAATCAACAAACTAAGATTCATTGACATTATTTTTCTAGAGTTATGGAGATAACAAGAGGCAAAGCTAGAATTCAGATTCATAATTGCTCGGTTTCAAAGTTCTTGTTATTTCCATGTGGATTTCAAAAATAGTATTTTAGAAGTGTCAAATTATATAGTTACTAAAGAAAATGTGGAAATTGCAAGTAGAAAGTACAGAAAATGAAAATAAATTATCCATGAATCCACCACTTTCAATAGTTCAGGGGGTTTCTTCAGTCTTTTGCTCCAATATAATTTTGGGTGTTAAAAATAACGATAGCATTGTATGTATAATTTTATATCCTGCCTTTTTCACTTAACATTTTTCAGTGCTGACCTATAATCTTCATAAATGTAATTTTAATGGTCGCATATTATTGTCAAGTGGGTGTTATCATATAAATATTTACAGTTGTTCACCTCATCTGTGACTTTCTTCTCTTTATTCCCAGGACTCACCATCTCCGTCTCCCATGAGGCTTACAGAGTTGAGTGTTGGAAATCATTGTAATCTTCAAAATAAGTCAAGGTGTTGGACTGAAAGCTTCAAAATTTGAAAGAATTCCATCAAATACTTGCTTTGCAAATGTTTCCGGACTTTACATTATTTAATTTGCTGACCAAAATCCAATTTGGTATTTGGTAGCAGTTAATCAAGCCAGTTTTTTTGTTTCTTCTTCATTTCCCCTGCCCCAATCCATGAAAGCCTAAATGTAAAATATATCTTTTCATTTATCATTATCAGGTAAAAGGGAATTGAGAAAATTTCCTTGGAGTCTTTAATTTTCCTACAAAGAGTATTAATCACATAATAGGGCCTTTTTGGTGTTTAAGGGAATCAGACTACATTTGCTGCTTATGTGCATGTGTATTTGTGAACATATACAGTATATCTGTACAAAATTCTGCTATAGTGTGAAAATCAAGGCTAAAAACCTGATTATGATTTTTCTGTAAATAGCAACTTAAGTATTTACTAGACTTTGAACCATCACTATATCAGGTGTCTAAATTTTGGGATGGTGATTGAATACACTGACCAGGGTCCTCAAATTCGGACTTGAACAACAATGTAAAACCTATTCCATTACAAATGTTCCTGAAAGCACTACAGCTAACCCATAAGATGAAAATCAGGACTTACACTTTATTAAACATGATAATCAGTGTGGTGTTTTTTTTTTTTTTTTTTTTTTGAGACAGAGTTTCACTCTTGTTATCCAGGCTGGAGTGCAATGGCGCAATCTCGGCTCACCGCAACCTCCACCTCCTGGGTTCAGGCAATTCTCCTGCCTCAGCCTCCCGAGTAGCTAGGATTACAGGCATGCGCCACCATGCCCAGCTAATTTTTTGCATTTTTAGTAGAGACGGGGTTTCACCATGTTGACCAGGATGGTCTCGATCTCTTGACCTCGTGATCCACCCGCCTTGGCCTCCCAAAGTGCTGGGATTACAGGCTTGAGCCACCGCGCCCAGCCAATAATCAGCGTTTTAAACACTTCTAATGTCAGACTGTGGTAGAATTCTGCAATTACTTTTATTTATTTACCTGCTACCTAGTTTTATTTAATCCTTTATGAATTACTTTTATGATGAAAGAAAATCTATAAGCCTACGTTATGGCCCATAGGTTTTGTTAAGGGTTTTCAGAGTGATTTGGGGGTTTAATTTTAATACCTTTCATAAGGGTAAAATTTCACAGCTGACAGCCTGAGGATTAGCACTAAAGAGCTGTGTTTTCATAGCAGAGATTATTGTATAGACAGTCATAACCAAATAGTAATATGCCAATTATTTATTCCTTTGTTTTAGCTTCAATGGTAGCTAAGCCATTAAAACAGTTTGCATTGATTTCCCCATTTATTTATAATCAGCCTTTCTTTTAGTTCTAGTGCCTGAATCAATGAGGCTGAATACTAGTAGTGCTTCTTTATAATAATAATATCTTAAGAGTATTGATGTCTTTAATTTTTTCAACCAGCAGTCTACTGCCCAGCTGCTGACAATAAAATCTCCAACTCTTACAGGGATCAGTGGGAATTAGAGATTTCTTTCAGATATCAAGTAATTGAGCTTCTAGAAGGGTTGTTTGGTTTACTAACTTATCCCTCCTGAAGTATTTTTTAGTAAAAAAGAGTTGCCTGCCACAATTTAGTGTTGAGGTTCCAGTGGAGCTGAGAAAATGAACAATCCAGCTACTTAAAACAACAACAAAACCTGTTGATCTGGACCCCTAGGTAATTTTGACCAAGGTGAGTCTTTTGGCATAAATTAAATGGATGGTCAGCATTACATTTGAGAGAATACTAGACATGACTACATTTATTAGGGCCAATGACTGTTTGTCAAACTCAGAAGCTAAAAAGCAGCCTAGAAGACTATGCACAGGCTCAGTTTCATGATGAAGTCTTATATATTCAGATGGAAAAACATTTTTTCTTTCACTCTTTCTCAAGATACTCTCTTGTTTGAGTTTCTCTTGATAGTTTATTTGGCCATCCCCATGTTCTTATGACAGACAAGCTTTTTTTCTATTGATATAGATATGCACCTGTTTCTAAATGTATTGCCTTTACTTCCTACACAGCCATTAGGCCTCAAAGTTATCTTCCTCTTTCGCATTGATTATCTTCTGCCAAGCATTCAGGCAGAGCAGCTGTTAACTGTGATTCAAATTCAGAAAAATGTCAAGAAACTATTTAATGCATACGGTGTATTAGCACTCAACTCCCACAGAAGTGAAGTCACAAAAGATAGTGTCAGTTAACTATAAGGAAGTTTGAGAAAGGTAAAGCTCAGGAAAACTATAATGCAAAGCTGATTGTTTAATGTCTTACAGATTTACACTGTCTTTAAAAGGCCAAATAAATCAGGGTTTTACCAGGGGGCTCAGAAAAAAATAGAAGACCTATTTCTATCTTAGCATTTTGGTCTCATTTGTTAATAGACTCTGATGATATCTCTATCCATGGATCATCTGAGCATTGAATAATGTACATAGACACCCAAATGGTTGATTATTTATCGAGAGTACAAAGTTTTGTTTAGTAATTAGCACACCCTGATCTGGCTTCTTTGCTTGGTTTTCCTTGGAGCCCTGTCCAGTAACCTCTGTGGAATCTCATTCCCTAATCTTTGATATTTATTTTCTCCATTTGCAAAATGAAGATACTCATTGTTATGATCCTATTGCTGAAAGGTGCTATGTAGCATTCTAGTACTCTTATATGTCTTTAATTATAGGACTGGAATGAAAAGTTTAACCATAACAGTATTTCTAAGCAAAATTGTGTGCTCCATTCTTTTGTACATGCTTCCTTGCTGATTTATTCTTGCAGAACTTCGAGCACTTTGTTCATGTTATTCCATTCATTCCAACAGTGTCCTCAGAAGGAGCCAGAATAAAAAATCTTCCCCATGGTACAGCTGGAAAAATTAAGGGGAAAAGCGATTAAGTGGTCCCCAGTCAAACACAGCTGTCTTATGCTGGGCTCAAAATTATCATGTCCAGTACACTGTTAAAGTAACTTGGCTTCCCAGTACTGGAATTATCATGGAGCAGTTAGAATTTTGAGAGTACAATATGATCACATTCTGAAAGAGTCACATTTTGTAAAAAATCTGAAAAGTATGCAATTTCTGCAACTCTTACTGGTGATAGGAATGCAATATGTGCCTCTTTCCCCCACTGGCCCCATGTAACACATATCTTTCACACTATGTGGCATCAACCAGTGCCATTACCTCCTGTGGCACCCATAGAGTCCACTCTCAGGGCAGACATTGCCAAAGTAAAGAATGCCCTCTATGTTTATGCCAAATTGAACAAAGTATAGACATTGAGGTTAATGGAGGTTTAAGCATAATCCTAGAAAGTAAGTTTTAAGAATATTGAATATACATTATTGTAACATGAACCTAAAACTTAACAGAGTCCACATTCATAGGAATGTAGCAGTCATTGAAAGCCTATTCTTTTCACCTATTATCACATATATCTACGTTCACCTATGCACATGTACACACACACACACACACACACACACACACACATTTTCTTTAAAGCAGAAGCAAATACTTTAAAAGAATGATTCTCTGTCTTCTCCTTTTAGAGAAGGGGTCTAAGAATCACAGCATGTGAAAAACATTCCATTTATACATTCCAGAATCTCTGCTCTCAGAGTAGCTAAGAGATTAGTACAAAAGATATTCTGTGCAGAAGCACACAGAGCATCTAACAAGATTGCCAGGCCCTTGCACAAGATCCATATTCTTAGAAAATTAATGAGTTCCATCTAGCTAGGAATTGGTTGACCAGGTATGGTACATGTGCATTTCTTTAACTGTAGCTGTAATGTACCATACTAAATTGTAGCCTCTTGCATGTGGGTATTATATAATATAATAATGAATGGATGGCTCCTAATAGCATGCAACTCGTGACTGTTTACGTCTCCAAAAGGGCTAGGTCTGTTTCCTGCACAGTGTTCAAAATCGTTAAATATGTTCTTTGTACCAGGATGGTACACAGCCATCAGCAGAGTGAGTTAAAACCAACAATGAATTCAATATATCAAGAAATAGATTGTTAGTAGAGAATGGCATTAAAGGAAAAACACAATTCGATAAGATGCATTCAAGGAATAATTACTTTCACTCTGCTGGCTAAATCAGTGAAGGAACACAGAAGTAAAGTTGGCAGTGGGTCTTGGTAATATATGAACTATATTGGAGTGCCAGAAAAGGAGACCTTAGTAGTTAAGCTCAAGTTACCAATTTGCTACATTTTTTCCCACCAATCTGCTAAACGTGATTGTATATAATATTCTTAAATCCATGTGTCTTTCTGCAGAAATATTGACAAATTCTGGCCAGCTTTATCTTCCTATATCCTTTATTTAAAGTATATACTTATAATTTTAGGGTTTTTTCCTAAATTGTGGCTTGTTAAATAACGTTGGCAAACCCTAAAGTTTCAGACTACTCTAATGGAAGTTTCTATATATCTAATTTCATGGGGGTATAGTGACATTTATTCACTCAGGTTGATTGGTCTGTGTGGTATGTAGACTCCTCTGTAACATCTCATCTTTTGAACAGGCCCCTTCCATGTATTCAGTACTTCTGTCTTATGTTCCTACATAAATTTGAACTGGGAAATTAGCTGCAATGTCTTTTAGATAGAAAGCTGAGCAGTCTGGTGGCACTTAATCATTCTGTCTCTACTCAGCCTCACACATCTTTCGCCTTTCACTCTGCCATTGTTATAAAAGGAAAAATAAATAACTTATTTTATGTGTCTAAGGGTGAGGTAAACTCTGATTTGCTTTTTCTTACACTGAAGACTATTGTCCTATTCTCCAGATGCATGTCACCTGAAAAAAAAGACACATAGAGGGGAACAACAGACACTGAAACCTATCAGAGGGCCGAGGGTGGGAGGAGGGAGAGGACCAGAAAAAATAACTAAAGGGTACTAGGCTTAATACATGGGTGATGAAATAATCTGTACAACAAACTCCTGTGACACAAGTTTACCTATATAACAAACCTGCATGTGTACCTGTGAACTTAAAATAAAAGTTAAAATAAGTATAAACAAAACAAAACACTCTGAAAAAGAAACACAGTAGCCCACTTACTCTGAAGTCATACATTATCCTCGGAGAAATATTTGAGGAGACCCTCATTAAGTAAGCCCCAAATAAGGTTTCCCTCAATTGATGCACCATTTGCAGAAAAAGTTCTTTTCAGACAGAATTTAGAAAGCCCCCAATTAGCCAACCAAGAAGGCAAAAACATTGAAAATGCAGAACATTTAAAGCTGAAGTTTGGAACAGTCATTGCTGACTTTCTGACTAATTAATAATGGAGAACTTTAATCACTTAAGAGAGGCCCAACCCATAGAAGTCAGGCTTAACACAAACATGAAAAAAAATCTTTACTCCAACTAAGCTTATTTTTTTTAAGTGCTTACATTTTCCTAGATAAAGACCCCAAATATTTCTGCAGAAAACCCCATTTCATTTATTCCAATGAATCAGTTACAAACAGCTCATACTATAAAGTGTTACTGGAAAGAGGTCCCAATACAGACCCCAAAAGAGGGTTGTTGGATCTCATGCAAGAAAGAATTTGAGCCGAATCCATAAAGTGAAAGCAAGTCTATTAGAGAAGTAAAGAAACAAGAGTGACTACTCCATATGAAGAGCATCCCTGAGGGCTGCTGGCTGACCACTTTTATGGTGATTTCCTGATTATATGCTAAAGAAGGGGTGGATTATCTATGAGTTTTCAAGAAAAGGGGTGGGCAATTCCAGGAACTGAGGGTCCCTCCCATTTTTAGACCATATAGTGTAACTTCCTGACATTGCCATGGCATTTGTAATGGTGCTGATGGGAGTGTCTTGTAGCATGCTAATGCATTATAATTAGCACATAGTGAGCACTGAGGATAACCAAGGCCTTTTCACTACCAACTTGGTTTTGGTGGGACTTCTCTGGCTTTCTTACCACATGCTATTTTATCAACAAAATCTTTGTGACCTGTATCTTGTGCTGACCACTTACTCATCCTGTGACTTAGAATTCCTAACCACCTGGGAATGCAGCCCAGTATGTCTCTGTCTCATTTTACCCAGCCCCTATTCAAGATGGAGTCACTCTGATTCAAATACCTCTGACATATTTTCCCCCTCCTTTTTATAAGAGAACACTTAATCCTATGGTTTGTAGAGCAATGAAGATCCATCTTCTGTAACTTTTTCAGGCTGAATAGGGGGTGATGATATTCCTGTCTAACTATTAGGGTCTTCTGTAGTTGGGGTACAGAGGAGCTCAGTCAGAAAGTGTCAGCATGGTGAGTGCCATTTATTGCTCTGATAAAAAGTGATATCTGGAATATTAAAAAGTGCTCAATTTAAAGAAAACATTTAGTAAGCGTATCCTGCATTTTTACAAAAGGGCACAACAGCAATACATTCCACAATAAAGCAAAATAAATAATACTATCCCAAGTAAACTAAATAAGGAGGTTTTCCAGGAACTGGGAAACTGTTGGAGCCAAGCTGATATGGGGTTGCCAACTAATTCCAGTGTGCCCAGACTTAGAATATAGATCCAGATTTTTTACTACTCTCCCTCTTGTTTCTTCCATGCAGCAGTCAGAGATTACTGATTGGTTCACAGGAATAAGCAGATTAGTCTAAATTGCAGGAAAAAAAAATTGAAAAACAACCTAAGAGACTAGAATCTAATAACAGGTGTATCATAGCTCTTGAAAAATATTCTTTCTCTCCAGTTTCCCATTTTTACTAAAGAAAAATTATAATAGCACCAATTCATTTGCAAAAATAAGCCTTAATTTTATAATTGGCCTCAATATTTGTATAAAGTGCAGCAAGAATAATTTTTTAACATAGGCTTTTAAAATTGGCTTTGATGAAACTCTGTTCCATAAAGAATCTCAGATATGACTGTTCTTAAATCTGAGTCCAGCCATGGGTTTGTATCCTCAAATACCAATGAGGTGAGAAAATTCCTCTCCTCTTGAGTTCCCAAGATAACTTGAAGCTACTGGAGCTATCAGAAAGTCACATTCTTTACTTACCACAGGTTAGGAACCGTATACAGGGACTGTGCAGATAAGGCATGAGACCAATTTTACCAAAGCACTTTTATTGGCTCTACAAGTTAAGTTTGATTTCTTAAAAAGTAAGTATGCCATTCCAGTCAAAACCTTGGTAAAACCAGTTACTCCCATTGTGTCCTGCTGCAAAAGAAAACATTCCTATTGCACTTATGCAAATGCTATATTACCATAAATTAAGAATACTCACAAATAGTTTCCAAATTCTAGAGAAATTAGGTACAGAGATAAAAACAGTAAAGAGCTCAAAAAAAGTTTCCTCTACTGTGAAAAACAAAACAGTGGATCAGCAACATTTAAGCAAAAAGTTTAAAAATATTATTTCAGACTTTTAGTTTAGTCCATACAGTTAACTCCTGTGGTGCTTGGTATCCATGAATATTTGAGCTTTCCATGAGAGTCTTGAAAGTTTTTTCAAGGTTTTCAAGGTTACCATATCTTATGATAACCTGGGATTCCATTTTGTTATTCAGCCAACTGATGACTCAAAAATTTTAAAAAGGGCCAGGCTCAGTGGCTCACGCCTGTAATTCCAGCACTATAAGAGGCTGACACAGGTGGATCACGAGGTCAAGAGATTGAGATCATCCTGGTCAACATGGTGAAACCCCGTCTCTACTAAAAATACAAAAAAATAGCTGGGCATGGTGGCGAGTGCCTGTAATCCCAGCTACTCGGGAGGCTGAGGCAAGAGAATTGCCTAAACCCAGGAGGCGGAGGTTCCAGTGAGCTGAGATCGTGCCATTTGCACTCCAGCCTGTGTAACAAGAGCAAAACTCCATCTCAAAAATAAAATTTTTTTAAGGCAAAAACCTTTACTCATAAAGAGTGAAGACTTAGCTTTCCAAACAACCTGTCTCTTCTTTCCCTTTTTCCTGCCGTTTATTTCAAAGACAAACAAAAGTTTTTATTATTCTTTAATATTACATGAAAATCTTGTTCAAAGAGAAAGCCAAATTTCACCTTTTGCATTAGTGTACTATTAATGTAAACCCAAATTTTTAATAAAAGCTGATAGACAAATCTACCCAATTTTAATATTTGACAATAAGGTTAAGATTTTCATTAAACTTTTATAATCCTTTGTAAATTTTTGTTAAAAACAGACCAGTGTTCTATGAAAAACCTGTTGTGCTCTTATTCCAATGTTCAATTTATGGAAGACCTAAATAATAACTTTTTAATTTTAGCCAATATGTTCACACACAGGATTTCTTTCACAAAATTAATTTTTCACAAACCTTCCACAACCTTCTGAAACTTCAGCTTTATCCGATCTAAATTAAAATAATCCTGTAACCCTTTAGGCAGAAAAAAATTCACATTCCCATGCCTTTTTATAATCTTTTACCAAAAACATATTTCACTATCCTTGCACACATTGCATGTAAAACTGTTTTTATTTCCCAATAGTTACTAAAGTCATATAAGCTAAAGGCATACCAGTTTTTATTTTTCTGACAAAATATTTTATTTAAGCTTTTTTATAAACCAGTTAGTCAAAGCTCTTTCATGTGATGCACAAATCACATATAATACACCGACACACAGAAGATTCAGTAGTTGTAAGGGTTTTCATTTTCCCATTTTTTAATTGGATTACTATCTTTTGGGTGGAGCCCTTAAAGGAACAGGGCCAGGAAAGCATTCCAGTTTCTACACCCTAATAAGCAGGCACAGCTGGAAGGCAAAAACAAATATCCCAAAATTAAGGGTCCCATTTTTATACTGGATCCTGTATCCCCAAAACAGATATGCTACAGAACAAGACAGTACAACAATTTTATCATATATTTTATTACAAAGCAATCCAAATCCAATTAGCCTAAGCTGTGATTAGCCTATCCTCCATGGGTGACATCTCTCAGTAGGCATAGGGACATCTCCATACGTTCTGGGTGGCCAAGGGCATAGTACTCTGATTCAAACATGCAAGGAGCTGAGTATCCCCCCATAACTTTTATTAGATATCTCCAAAACTATATTTCCTACCTAGTTATTGCACACAAAAGCTCTCTTATAATGCAAGATAACTTCTGATACCCCAAAAAGTAAAAAAAGAAATGTCAGGTAAAACAATGCAAAATAGAGCAGAACCTTAGATTTTGTGAAGAATCTATTTGCTTATAATTCCTGGGGTTTCATGATGAAAATAGAGGTTTATCTTAAAATGGGGACCATGGAACCTCCTCTGTTTTTCCCAAGAAGTCCCAGCCTGTTAGAACTTGAACAAACTGACTTTTAGCCACAACACTTAAAATAAAAAATAAAAAAGCAAAATTCTTAAAATTTCTTTTTTGGGGGGAGGAAGGGAGGAAGGCAGGAAGGGAGGAAAGGAGGAAGGGAGAAAGGGAGGGAGGGAGGGAGAGAAGGGAAGAAAGAAAATTAGGCAGTGAGAGAGACATTGCCAACCTGGATCTAGAGGTCTACGAGTTGATTTCCTTTTTTTCTTTTCTTTTTTTTTTGAGAGAAGGAAAGAAAAAGAAGGAGTGAAGGAGAGGAAGAAAGAGGAAGCAAAAGAGGGGGAGAGAACAGAAATGTTGCTTTACTTTTTAGAAAATGGGTATTAATAATGGCCAATCAATATTTCATTTAAACCTATGAGTAGGTGTGATGTGGTATTGACAAGAATGTATATTTTGTGTATTTAAAGTGGAGAGCTCTATAAATATTATTAAGTTTACTTGTTCCGGATCTGAGTTCAAGTCCTGGATATCCTTATTAATTTTCTGTCTCATTGAGTCTAAGTCTCTATTTATCTGGGCGTTAGGATCGTTAGCTCTTATTGTTGCATTGATCCTTTTACCACTATATCTTTGTTGCTTTAAAATCTGTTTTATCAGATACGAGAATTGCAACTCCTGCTTTTTATTTATTTATTTATTTTTGCTCTCTATTTGGTTGGTAAATCTTTCTCCATCCCTTTGTTTTGAGTCTTTGTGTATCCTTGCATGTGCAATGGGTCTGGATGTAGCATACCATTGGGTTTTGGCTGTATCTTTTGATTGGGGGATTTAGTCAATTTAAATTTAGGATTACTGCAATTTGATGTTAACTGGCTGTTTTATCCATTCGTTGATGTAATTCTTCATTATGTTGATGCTCTTTACTTTTTGGTATATTTTTAGAAAGGCTAATACTGGTTGTTTCTTTTTATGTGTAATGCATCTTTCAGAAGCTCTTGTAAAGCAGGCCTGGTGGTAATAAAATCTCTGAGTACTTGCTTGTTCATAAAAGATTTTATTTTTCCTTAAGTCGTGAAGCTTAGTTTGGCTGGATATGAAATTCTGGGCTGAAAGTTCTGCTCTTTAAGGATGTTGAATATGGCCCCCACTCTTTTCTGGCTTGTAGAGTTTCTGCTGAGAGATCTGCTGTAAGTCTGATAGGCTTGCCTTTGTGGGTAACCTGACCTTTCTCTCTGGCTGCCCTTAGTATTTTCTTCTTTGTTTCAACCCCGGTGAATCTAACGATTGTGTGCCTTGGGGTTGCTCTTCTTGAGGAATATCTTTGTGGTGTTCTCTGTATTACCTGGGGTTGAATATTGTCCTGCTTTGCTAGGTTAGGAAAAGTTTTCTGAATAATATCCTGAAGAATATTTTCCAGCTTGTATTCATTCTCTCCGTTGCATTCAGGTACACCTATCAAACGAAAATTTGGTCTTTTCACATAGTCCCTCATTTCTTGGAGACTTTGCTCATTCCTTTTTATCCTTTTTCTCTAATCTTGTCTTCTCGTTTTATTTCATTAAGTTGGACTTCGACCTCTGATATCCTTTCTTCTGCTTGAACAATTGGAGTATTTAAACCTGTGCATACTTCTCAGAGTTTCCGTATTGTATTCTTCAGTTCCATTAATTCACTTATATTCCTCTCTAAGTTGTCTATTCTCATTAGGATTTCGTCAAACCTTTTTTCAAAGTTCTTAGTTTCTTTACATTGGGCTACAACATGTTCTTTTAACTCACAGAAGTTTCTTATTATCCATCTTGTGAAGCCTGATTCTGTTAATGGGATGCACTCTTTCTCCATCAAGCCTTGTTCCCTTGTTGATGAGGAACTGTGATCCTCTTTAGAGGGAGAGGCATTCTGATTTTGAGTATTCTCAGCCTTTTTACGCTGGTTTCTTCCCATCATTGTAAATTTATCCACCTGTCGTCTTTGTAATTACCAACATTCAAATTAGGTCTCTGAGTGGACGTCCAAGTTATTAATTCCCAGGGCTGAAATATGAGCAACCCACTGCGCCGAACAAAACAGCGGCATTAAGACTGATGGTGCTTTTCTGCCTGGGAATCTCCAGTCTGGCCTCCTTCTTGAGTCTGTAATAGGTGACTCTGCCTTCCCGGAGCTCCGATCATCTATCAGAAGTGGAACCAGTCCCGTTTACTCTGCACTGAGAGCTGCCATGCCGAGGTGCCGGCAAAACCGCTGTGCTGGCCACAAGAGTCATGCTGGCGACCCATGCAGCTCCTCCACTGGGAATCTTCTGCTCCGTGAGCAACAAAAATTTGTCTGAATGTGTGGCATTCTCTCGTTCTCTGCGCTTTCACTAAGAGCTGCAATCCCGAGATGTTAGTGATCAGCCATCTTGGATCCTTCCTTAAAATTTCTTATTACCCAACTTTTACCAGGCCAAACAGCCAATATTTTTGGCTTTTGAACTTTACCAAAGGTAACCTCCCAGGTGCTCAAGGAAAGGAAAATTCAAAATGGTATATGGAGGGGAAGAAAATCAACAAATGGTAAAGGTAACACAACTATCAAACAAGAAAGGACTCATTCCCTAAGCCAGAATTGAACCTAGAACCCAGGCCACCGTTGTGAAAAGACAAAGCCTGAGCTATGAAACTACCTCATTGGGCAGTTTCCATTGTGCTTCCTAGAAGGCACCCAGAGCACCAATTTTGAGCTTGCAATGGTTGTTAACTGCTCAAGATAGTTTTTAGAACTAGCTGTGACATGCAACCCAAAAGTTCTGTCTCCTGGATGGAAGAGACCAAGATAAAGTACAGCCATGTCTCTACAAGGTCAACCTCCCAAGGACATAAAACAAGACCAGAGGGAAACTTCATCCAGTCTTTCCTTCACAGGGACCCACATCATACTTTGTAACTGACCAGTTTACTGGGCCATCTTGAACAGCAGGCTTATTGGGTCCTAAGCCCATGTTCTACCCTAAGATATTCCTTTTTATGACGGAGTGATACAGAAAGACAAATTTATAGCTGAAAGATTTGCTACAGTAGTCACTCCATTTAGCACCCAATGTTGAATGGGCAAAGCTCAAACTTGCCCCCAGATTGGCCCTATCATCTTTAATTCAACAAACAACCAAAAGTTAACATATGATGTCTGGGCAAGATGGTCACCCTGAGTAACAGAAAATATAAGAAAGGGAAAGGAAAGAAAGAGACAGAGATAAAAGCATATCCTGTGGCAGAGTGGGGAAGGTAAAAAACTCAGGGAGACCAGAAAAATAAAACCACCTATTACAGTGACATGGAATCAAAAGTTCAGGCGGCCACTTGTCAGTCACAAAGGAATCTTTTCTAGTAGTCCCATCAGTTCTCAAGTTTCCCCTTTTGGGGAGATAAACCTTCCCATGTCCAAAGGTCCTGTACATGCCTAACCTTGTCACCTGCAGCCATTAGCAGAGAGTGCAAGACAGATTAATTCAAAGAGAATAGTGGTTAACATTCCATGATGCCAAATGCATTTTTAATTGAGAGAATTTACTGAGCAGAATCTCTAACCCCTAAATTTTAGGAAGAACTCTAATCTTCCTAAGTTTGGTCTCAAACCCAAGTTGGTTTAAGCATGCTTGCCTTTTTCCTAAGAGGGTTCTTTAACCCACTCAATCTTAGGAGAGAGTCTAACTTATTTAGTTAGGCCTCTAATTCAGTCACACCCTTTACGCAGGTAAAATGCACCCCACATACCCAAAGTCAACCAATTGGTGTTGCAGTTTATTTCCTTTGGGTTGGGAGTCTCCTCAGTATCATCCCATCATAGTTACCAGGAAGATGTTACTGAAAAAGGGTCCCAATCCAGACCCCAAGAGAGGTTTTCAGATCTCACACAAATAAAAATTCAAGGTGAATCCACACAGTAAAGTGAAAGCTAGTTTGTTAGCGAAGAAAAGAAACAAAAGAATGACTATTCTATAGGCAGAACTGACCCATTAGCTGCTGACCGGCCACTTTTATGGTCATTTTCTGATTACATGGTAAACAAGGGGTGAATTATTCATGAACTTTTCAGGAAAGGAGTGGGCAATTCCCAGAACTGAGGATTCCTCCCCTTTTTAGACCATTCAAGGTAACATCCTGATGTTGCCATGGCATTTGTAAACTATCAAGGCACTGGTAAGATTATTTTAGCATGCTAATCATTACAATTAGCATACAATGAGCAAGGATGGCCAGGTTACTTTCACTGCCATCTTAGTTTTGGTGGAATTTGGCCAGATTCTTTACCACATGCTCCTTTGTCAGTAAGGTATCTGTGGCCTGTGTCTTGTACTGACCTTCTACTCATCCTGTGACTTAGAATGCCTAACCACCTGAAAATGCAGCCCATTAGGTCTCAGTCTCATTTTACCCCTATTCAAGATGGAGTTGCTCTGGTTCAAATGGCTCTGACAAAAACAAACAAACAAACAAATAAAAAACAACCCTGCATGAAAGAGGAAACTTCTGAACAGGAATATCACTTAGTCAAAGGTTACTGAGGAAATTTAAGGCATAAATGTTTAAAATAAAACTTAAATTTATAGATACAAATAAAAATATATGTATAATGTTTTATATAGGGATGTGAAATATACTGGCATGCATTTTCTTTATGTTATAAGCAACATGTTTCAAATCTAATGTTCTCAGTATGTGCAGTGATATTGAATAGTCAGTTTCTCTTTTAATATTAAAATATTCATTTTTGCACAGTAGAAAATATCTCAATGTTCAGACTTCCAAATCTAGAGATGTAAAAAGTATGTGACAACAAAAAGTATATTTTAAGCAAACATTTTTTTTTCTTACTTTAAGTTCTGGGGTACATGTGCAGATCTTCATGATATTTACATAGGTATACACATGCCATGGTGGTTTGCTGCCACCATACTCCGTCCCCTACGTTAGGTATTTCTCCTGTTATCCCTTGTCAATCTCCCCACCCCTTGTTATCCTTCCTCTAGTCTCCCACCCTACAGACCCCAGTGTGTGATGTTCCCCTCCCTCTTTTCATGTGTTCTTATTGTTCAACACCCACTAATGAGTGAGAACATGCAGTGTTTGGTTTTTGTTCTTGTGTCAGTTTGATGAGAATGATGGTTTCCAGATTCATCCATGTCCCTACAACGGCCATGAACTAATCATTTTTTATGGCTGTGTAGTGTTCCATGGTATATATGTGCCACATTTTCTTTATCCAGTCTATCTTTGATGAGCATTTGGGTTGGCTCCATATCTTTGCTATTGTAAACAGTGCTGCAATGAATATAAATGTTTATATGTCCTTATAATAGATCGATTTACATTCCTTTGGGTATATACCCATTAATGGGATGGCTGGGTCAAATGGAATTTCTAATTCTGCATCCTTGAGGAGTTGCCAGACTGTCTTCCACAGTGGTTGAACAAATTTACAATCCCACCAACAGTGTAAAAGCATTCCTATTTCTCCATATCCTCTCCAGCATCTGTTGTCTTCAGATTTTTTAATTGCCATTCTAACTGGCATGAGATGGTATATCAATGTGGTTTTGATTTGCATTTCTTTAATGACCAGTAATGATGAGCATTTTTTTATATGTTTGTTGACCACAAAAATGTATTCTTTTGAAAAGTGTTTGTTCATATCTTTAGCCAACTTTCTAATGGGGTTGCTTGTTTTTTTCTTGTAAATTTGTTGAAGTTACTTGTAGATTCTGGATATTAGCCCTTTGTCAGATGGGTAGATTGCAAAAATTTTTCCCTTTCTGTTAATTGCCAGTTCACTCTAATGATTACTTCTTTTTCTGTACAAAAGCTCTTAAGTTTAATTAGATCCCATTTGTCTATTTTGGCTTTTGTTGCCATTGCTTTCAATGTTTTAGTCATGAAGTCCTTGCCTATTCCTATGTCCTGAATGGTACTGCCTAGGTTTTCTTCTAGGGTTTTTAAGGTGTTAGGTCTTATGTTTAAATCTTTAATCCATCTGGATTTAATTTTTGCATAAGGTGTAAGGGAGGGGTTCAGTTTCTGCTTTCTGCACATGGCTAGCCAGTTTTCCCAACAATGCTTATTAAACAGGGTATCATTCCCCCTTTGCTTGTTTTTGTCTGGTTAGTCAAAGACCAGATAATTGTAGATGTGTGGTGTTATTTCCAAGGCCTCTGTTCTGTTCCATTATTCTATGTCTCTGTTTTGTTACCAGTACCATGCAGTTTTGATTGCTGCAGCCTTGTAGTATAGTTTGAAGTCAGGTAGCATGATGCCTCCAGCTTTGTTCTTTTAGCTTAGGATTGTCTTGGCTATGTGAGCACTTTTTTGGTTCCATATGAAGTTTAAGGTGGTTTCTTCCAGTTCTATGATGAAGGTTAATGGTAGTTTGATGGGGATAGCATTGAATCTATGGGCAGTATGGCCATTTTCATAATATTGATTCTTCCTAACCATGCGCATGGAATGTTTTTCCATCTGTTTGTGTCCTCTCTTATTTCCTTAAGCAGGCTGGCCTCCCCCTGAAAGATCCAGCAACTGGAGTCCCTCTCCTGGGAGAGTTTTGCAGTTAATACATCCTCCACCTAAGAACAGTGGGCTCTGAAGAGCAAAAGAGCCCACATTGGGAAGGCGGGGATAACTCCAGTAGTACTGAAACCAGGCAAAGAATAAACAGCAGCCTGGGCTGAGACCGAGGCAGCCCAGCAATACCTCCACAGTCAGACAATGGACAGAATGTCTCAAGTGGCACACTGAAAACTGCAATTACCTAAAAATAAAAAAAAAATCATACAGCAGAAATAACCCCAACTTTAACAGAAAGGACATCCACTCAGAGAAGATAAAAGGAAACCAGCACAAAAAAGACAAAAACATCAAAGTTAAGAATGCCTCTCCTCCCCAGAGAGATCACAACGACTCACCATCATGGCAAAAAAGCAGGTCAGAAAACGATTTTGACTAGCTGACAGAAGCAGTCTCCAGAAGATGGGTAATAACAAACTTCTGTGAGGTAAAAGAACATGTGTTAATCCAATGCAAAGAAACTAAGAATGTTCAAAAAAGATTCGATGAAATGCTAACTAAAATAACCAGCCTAGAGAAGAACATAAATGACTTGATGGAGCTGAAAAACAGCATGAGAACTTCATGAAGCATACACAAGTTTCAAAAGCTGAATCAATCAAGCAGAAGAAAGTATATCAGAGATTGAAGATGAACTCAAATGAATAAAAGAGAAGGCAAGAAAAGAGAAAAAAGAGTGAAAAGAAATGAACAAAGCATTCAAGAAATATGGGATTATGTGAAGAGACCTAATCTATGCTTGATCAATGTAACTGAAGAGGATGGGGAAAATGAATCCAAGCTGGAAAACACTCTCAAAATATTATCCAGGAGAACTTCCCCAATCTAGTGAAGCAGGCCAACAGCCAATACAGGAAATACAAAGAACACCACAGAGATACTCCTCGAGAAAAGCAACCCCAAGGCACATAATCATCAGATTCACCAGGGTTGAAATAAAGGAAAAATGCTAAGGACAACCAGAAAGAAAGCTTGGGTCATCCACAAAGAAAAGCCCATCAGAGTCACAGCGGATCTCTCTGCAGAAACCCTAAAAGCCATAAGAGAAAGGGGACCAATATTTAACATCCTTAAAGAAAAGAACTTTCAATCCAGAATCGCATATCCAGGCAAACTAAGCTTCACAAGTGAAGGAGAAATAAAATTCTTTATGGACAAGCAAGTACTGAGAGATTTCATCACCACCAGACCTGCTCTACAAGAGCTCCTGAAGGAAGCACTAAACACAGAAAAAATCATCTACTACCAGCCACTCCAAAAAACTAATCAAATGGTAAAGATCAAGTATGCAATTAGGAAATGGCAACAACAAAAGGGCAAAGCAAACAACCAGTAACAAAAAGGCAAGATCAAATTAACACATAACAATGTTAACATTAAACGTAAATAGCCTAAATGCCACAATCAAAGACACAGACTAACAAACTGGGTGAAAAGTCAATACCATCTGTGTGCTGTATTCAGGACACCCATCTCACATGAAAGAAACACATTGACTCAAAATACAAAGATGGAAGAAGATCTACTAACAAATGGAGAGCAAATAAAAGCAAGGGTTGCAATTTTAGTCTCAGATAAAATCAACTATAAACCAACAATGATCAGAAAAGACAAAGAAGGACACTAAATAATGGCAAAAGGATCAATACAACAAGAAGAGCTAACTACCCTAAATATATATGCACTTAATACAGGAGCACCCAGATACATAAAGCAAGTTCTAAATGATCTAAAAGAGATGTAGGCTCCCACACAATAATAACAGGAGACTAACACTACAGTGTCAACATTAGACAGATTAATGAGACAGAAAATCAACAAGGATATACAGGACTTAAATGCAAAACTGGAACAAGCAGACCTAATAGATATCTACAGAACTCTCCACCCCACAGTCAGAGAATATACATTCTTCTCAGTAAAACATCATACTTACTCTAAAATTGACCACATAATTGGAAGTAAATTACACCTCAGCAAATGCAAAAACACGGAAATCATACCAGTCTCTCAGATCACAGCTCAATCAAATTAGATCTCAGGATTAAGAAACTAACTCAAAACCACACAACTTCATGGAAACTGAACAACTGGTTCCTGAATATTGACTGGATAAACAATGAAATGAAGGCAGAAATAAAGATGTTCTTCGAAACCAATAAGAATGAGGACAAAACATACCAGAATCTATGGGACACATTTAAATAAGTGTCTAGAGGGAAATTTGTAGCAATAAATGCCCACATGAGAAATGAGGAAGGATCTAAAATTGACACCCTATCATCAAAATTGAAAGAGCTAGAGGAGCAAGATTTTAAAAAAGCTCAAAAGCCAGCAGAAAACAAGAATTAACTAAGTTCAAAGCAGAACTGAAGGAGATAGAGATACAAAAAAGCGCTTCAAAAATTAACAGATCTATAATATACATTGAGCTGATTTTCACAAAGATCAACAAAATAGACAGACCACTAGCCAGATTAATAAAGGAGGAAAGAGAGAAGAATCAAATAGATGCAATAAAAAAAACCATAAAGGGGATATCACCACTGATCCCACTGAAATACAAGCTACCATCAGAGATTACTACAAACAACTCTATGCACATAAACTAGTAAACCTGAAAGAAATGGAAAAATTCATGGACACTCGCACCCTACCAAAATTAACAAGGAAGAAGTTGAAACCCTCAATATACCAATAACAAGGGATGAAGTTGAGGCAGCAATTAACAGCCTACCAACCAAAAAAGTCCAGGTCCAGATGGGTTCACAGCTGAATTCTACCAGACACACAAAGAGGAGCTGGTTCTAAAACTATTCCAAACAATACAAATAAGGGAATCCTCCCCAACTAATTTTATGACACCAACATCATTCTGATACTTAAATCCAGTGGAGACTCAATAAAAAAAAGAAAACATCAGGGCAATAGCCATGATGAACATCAATGCAAAATCTTCAATAAACAACTGGCAAACCGATTGCAACAGCACATCAAAAAGCTTATCCATCACAATCAAGTAGGCTTCATCCCAGGGATGCAAGGCTGGTTCAACATATGCAAATCCTTAAACATAATCCATTACATAATAGAACCAAAGGAAAAAAAAAACACATGATTATCTCTATAGATGCCGAGAAGGCCTTCAACAAAATTCAACAGCCCTTTATGCTAAAACTCTCAATAAACTAGGTATTAATAGAACCTATCACAAAATAATAAAAGCTATTTTGTGACAAACCCACAGCCAATATCATACTAAATGGGAAAAAACTGGAATTATTCCCTTTGAAATCTAGCACTAGACATGATGCCCTCTCTCTCCACTCTTATTCAATATAGTATTGGAAGTTTTAGCCAGAGTAATCAAGCAAGAAAAATAAATAAAGGGTATTGAATTAGGAAAAGAGGAAGTCAAATTGTCTCTATTTGCAGATGACATGATTGTATATTTAGAAGACCCCATCATCTCATCCCAAATTCTCCTTAAGCTGATAAGCAACTTCAGTAAAATATCAAAATACAAAATCAATGTGCAGAAATCACAAGCATTCCTATACACCAATAACAGAGCCAAATCAAGAGCAAACTCCCATTCACATATGCTACAAGAACAATAAAATACCAAGGAATACAATTAACAAAGAATGTAAAGGACCACTTCAAGAATAACTACAAACCACTGCTTGAGGAAATAAGAGAGGACACAGATGGAAAAATATTCCATGCTCATGGTTTGAAAGAATCAATATTGTGAAAATGGACATACTACCTAAAGTAATTTATAGATTTAATGCTATCCTTTCAAACTACCGATGACATTCTTCAAAGAACTGGATAAAACTTCTTTAAACTTTATATGGAACCAAAAAACCTGCGTAGCCAAGACAATCCTAAGCAAAAAGGAAAAACCTGGAGACATCATGCTGCCTGACTTCAAACTATACTACAAGGCTACTGTAATCAAACCACATGGTACTGGTATTGAAAGAGACATAGACCAATGGAACAGAACAGAGGCCTCTGGAGCAACACCACACATCTACAACCATCTGATCTTTGACTAACCTGACAAAAACAAGCAATGGGGAAAGGATCCAATGTTTAATAAATGGTGTTAAAAAAATTGGCTAGCAATGTGCAGAAAGCAGAAACTGGAACCCTTCCTGACACCTTTCACTAACATTAACTCCAGATGGATTAAGGACTTAAACATAAGACCTAACACCATAAAAACCCTAGAAGAAAAATGAGGTAAAACCATTCAGGACATAGGCCTAGGCAAGGACTTCATCAATAAAACATCAAAAGCAATGGCAACAAAATCCAAAATAGGAAAATGGGATCTAATTAAGCTTTAGAGCTTCTGTACAGCAAAAGAAACAGTCATTAGAGTGAACAGGCAACCAAGAAAATGGGAAAAAAAAAATTCAATCTACCCTTCTGACAAAGGGCTAATATCCAGAAACTACAAAGAACTGAAACAGATTTATAAGAAAAAAACAAACAAACCCATCGAAAAGTGGGTGAAGAATATGAACAGACACTTTTTAAAGAAGACATATATGAAGCCAACAAACACAGAAAAAATGCTCATCATCACTTGTCATTAGAGAAATGCAAATCAAATGGTGATCATTAAAAATCTGGAGATGACAAATGCTGGAGAGGATGTGGAGAAATAGGAACACTTTTACACTGTTGGTGGGAGTATAAATTAGTTCAACCATTGTAGATGACCGTGTGGCGATTCCTCAAGGATCTAGAAATAGAAATTCCATTTGACCCAGCAATGCCATTACTGGGTATATACCCACAGGACTATAAATCATTCTATTATAAAGACACATGCACACACATGTTCATCTCGGCAATGTTTACAATAGCAAAGACCTGGAACCAAGCCAAATACTCATCAATGATAGTCTAGACAACGAAAATGTGGCTCATACACACAATGGAATACTACACAGCCATAAAAAATGATGAGTTTGTGTCCTTTGTAGGGACCTATGAAACTGGTAACCATCATTCTCAGCAAATTGACACAAGAACAGAAAATCACACACCGAATGTTCTCACTTACAGGCAGGTGCTGAACCATGAGAACACACGGACACAAAGAGGGGAGCATCACACACTGGAATCTGTTGGGGGGTTTAGGGAAGGGATAGTGGGAGGGAAGGTTGGGGAGGGATAACATGGGGAGAAATGTCAGGAATAGGTGATGGGGGGATGGTGGCAACAAACCACCTTGCCATGAATGTACCTATGCAACAATCTTGCATGATCTACACATGTTCCCCAGAATCTAAAGTATAATAAATAAAAAAATTTTAAAAAAGAAGTTCAATGAGGGTAAAACACAATTCATTATACAGTCCAAGCTAAAGTTTTGTTATTGGAACACTAAAGAAAGTAGAAGTAATTATATTAAAATTGTGATAAGGTTATATTACCAACCCATTGTCATACTATACATAAATTACCCTGGACAATTAGAAAATACTTATTAGAATAATGTAGTTCAGACAGATTTAATACAAATGCAAATCTGAAGTTACTGCTGAATCATAGAAAGTCTGTATGTGTGTGTAGCACGGCTACCACATTCTGAATACTGAAGGTCCTATGAAATGTAAATGATCAAAAGGAAATACTGGGGAAATGAGGCAAGATGAGATTTTTTTTAAAAAGCTAACATTTTTAACCCACTTTACACTTGATTGTCATTTTCCCTAACCTTTGGGGCTTTCGATTTTCTACTTACATGTTTTCAATCTGTAAAAATTATAGGTCTGTTGAGGGTAAAATTAATTTACCTCTTCTATGTATACCTTATTAGCTGAATAATAACCAAGAGACAACTTCAGACATGCATTTCTACCATTGCTTCAGTCTTATTATTTTAACAGAACCACCTGGAGCACCTATTACCGATCATTATTTTTAAATACTTTAATTAGTCATGAGCTTAGAAGGTTTCTATTCTTTATTCACCTGTAATTTTTGGACCACCTCAGTTCAGTCAAAGTCATCAGAAACAACGTTGCATCTATGTGGCTATTTACAAGGAATACAGACACTACAGTCCCAGTTTCTAAATTTAAAACTCTATATGATATGGAGTCTCTCTAGTCCTGCACAATCTAGCTTTTTAAGTTTATTTCTTCATAATAATTCTCACTGCCATAAGCTGTCATCTTTATAAACACTGAACACTGTTAAGAAGAAAGAAAGAAAAATAGTAGAAATGGAGAAAAAGAGAGAGTGTCTGAATTCATTTGAGGTTACCTAAAACATTATTTGGTCATAAACCCCGTTAATAATCTGAAAAACAGCTATGGAGACTCTCCAAGTAAAAATACATGCATATACAGGCACACATACACACATGCACATGTGCACACATAATTTTACAATTTCAGAGTTTTAAATGACTCTGAAATTGTATAACTTACTTTAGGTAAGAATTCCTACCTTAAATTATGCCCCATGTTTATATAATCATCAAATTAAATAAGAGCACTCATATGTGACCTTGTGCTGCATGATGAAACTGGACTACGAGTCAGCAATTAATGTAAAGTCTATTGCAGAGTTTAATATATTTTCATAATTTGTTGTATTCATTGTCTTCCACTCCATTACCTGAGGCTTTGGAGAAGTTAGATGAGCAGCAGTATCATTGTTGCTAAGAATATCAGAGAGATGGTCTATGTACATAACAGGTGCTAAATATTGTCCTCTCTTTGGACAACAAAAAACCAAACGTTTTTCATCACATTAAAGGAGGCTTAAGATGATGGATGTTGGAATATTTACCTCGTGTCAGTGGTCTTTTTGGTGACACTGTCATTGGTTTTTAAATGTCAGAAATGGGTTTTTAAAAGAAAATTTTATATTATGAGCATTATGCTAAGTATATAACAATGCCCAAGTTCTTTTAACTATCTGGAAAGCCTTCTGAAGAGGGATAGGTACAAAGCCAGACTGCAAAGACTAAAATAAATACCTAACTCTTCACTGCCAAGACACAGACAAATATCTACAAGTATCAAGACAATCAAGGAAAGCATGACTACACTGAATGAACTAAATAACCAGGGAGCAATCCTGAAAAAAAAAAGATATGTGACCTTTCAAACAGAGAATTCAAAATACCTGTTTTGAGGAAACTCAAAGATATTCAAGATAGCACAAAGAAAAAATCAAACTTCTATCAAATATATTTAACAAGGAGATCAAAGTAATTAAAATGAATCAAGTAGAAATTATGAAAGTGAAAAATGCAATTGGAATACTGAATAATGCATCAGAGTCTTTTAATAGCAAAACTGATCAAGCAGCAGAAAGAAATAACGAGCTTGAAGACAGGCTATTTGAAAATACAGTTAGGGCCAGGCAAGATGGCTCACACTTGTAATCCAAGCAATTTGGGAGGCCAAAGTCAGAGGATCACTTGAAATCAAAAGTTCAAGACCAACCTGGCCAACATGGTAAAACCCCATCTCAAAAACAAAAAAAAAACAATACAAAACAAAACTAGTCAGGCATGGTAGCAAGTACCTGTAATCCAAGCTACTCAGGAAGCTGAGGCAGGAGAATCACTTGAACCAGGGAGGTAGACGTTGCAGTGAGCCAAGTTCATGCCATTGCACTCCTGCCTGTGTGACAGAGTGAGATTCCATTTCAAAAACAATAAAAAAGAAGTAGAAAAAGAAAAAAAAACAGTGAGAAATCACAAAATTTTAAAAAGGTTAAGAAACAATGAAGCACACATACAGGATGTAGAAAGTAGTCTAACAAGGGCACATCTAAAAGTTATTTGGCCTTAAAGAAAATGTGGCAGGGGGTTGAAAGTTTATTGAAAGAAATAATAAATGAGAACTTTCCCAACCTAGAGAAATATATTAATATCCAAGTATAAGGACATTATAGAAGACCAAACAGATATAACTCAAAGGAGACTACCTCAACACATTTACTAATCAAACTCCCAAAGATCAGAAATAAAAAAGATACTAAAAGCAGCATGAGAAAAGAAAAAAACAACATACAAAAAAGCAGAGGACCTTTCAGTGGAAACCTTACATGCCAGAAGAGAGTGGCATGACATATTTAAAAAGCTGGATATAAAATCAATGTGCAAAAATCACAAGCCTTCCTCTACACCAATAACATTCTTAAAGAAAGCCAAATCAAGAATGAATTGCCATTCACAATTGCCACAAAAAGAATAAAATACCTTGAAATACAACTCACAAGGAACATAAGGGACCTCTTCAAGGAAAACTACAAACCGCTGCTCAACAAAATCAGAGAGGACACAAACAAATAGAAAAACATTCCATGTTCATGGTTAGGAAGAATTAATATCTTGAAAATGGCTATACTGCCCAAAGTAATTTACAGAATCAACACTATCTCCAACAAGCTACCATTGAATTTCTTCACAGAACTGGAAAAAACCACCATGAACTCATATGAAACCAAAAGAGAGCCCGCATAGCCAAGTCAATTCTAAGCAAAAAGAACACAGCGGGGGGCATCACACTACCGGATTTCAAACTATACTACAAGGCTACAGTAATCAAAACAGCATGGTACTGGTACCAAAACAGAGATATAGACCAATGGAACAAAACAGAGGCATCGGAGGCAACACAACATATCTACAACCATACAATCTTTGATAAACCTGACAAAAACAAGCAATGAAGAAAGGATTCCCTGTTTAACAAATGGTGTTGGGAAAACTGGCTAGCCATGTGCAGAAAGCAGGAACTGGACCCCTTCCTGACACCTTACACTAAAATTAACTCCAGACGGATTAAAGACTTAAACATAAGACCTGGCACCATAAAAACCCTAGAAGAAAATCTAGGCAAAACCATCCAGGACATAGGAGTAGGCAAGGACTTCATGAACAAAACACCAAAAGCATTGGCAACAAAAGCCAAAATAGACAAATGGGACCTAATCAAACTCCACAGCTTCTGCACAGCAAAAGAAACAGTCACTAGAGTGAATCGGCAACCAACAGAATGGGAAACAATTTTTGCAGTTTACCCATCTGACAAAGGGCTGATATCCAGAATTTACAAAGAACTCAAATAGATTTACAGGAAAAAATCAAACAAGCCCATTCAAAGTGGGCAAAGGATATGAACAGACACTTTACGAAATAGACTGCATTGGGAAAATGTGGCACATATACAACATGGAATATTATGCAGCAATCAGAAATGATGAGTTCGTGTCGTTTGTAGGGACATGGATGAATCTGGAGAACATCATTCTCAGCAAACTGACACAAGAATAGAAAATGAAACACCGCATATTCTCACTCATAGGCGGGTGATGAAAAATGAGAACACATGGACACAGAGAGGGGAGTACTAAACACTGGGGTCTATAGGGGGGAAAGGGGAGGGCCAGTGGGAGGGGGAGGTGGGGAGGGATTGCCTGGGGAGAAATACCAAATGTGGGTGAAGGGGAGAAAGCAAACAAAACACACTGCCATGTGTGTACCTATGCAACTGTATTGCATGCTCTGCACATGTACCCCAAAACCTAACATGCAATAAAAAGAAAATAAATAATAAAAAAAGACATATATGAGGCCAACAATCATATGAAAAAATGCTCATCGTCACTGGTCATCAGAGAGATGCAAATCAAAACCACATTGAGATACCATCTCACGCCAGTTAGAATGGCGATCATTAAAAAATCTGGAGACAACAGATGCTGGAGAGGATGTGGAGAAAAAGGAACACTTTTACACTGTTGGTGGGAGTGTAAATTAGTTCAACCATTGTGGAAGACAGTGTGGCGATTCCTCAAGGCCTTAGAAATAGAAATTCCATTTGACCCAGCAATTCCATTGCTGGGTATATCCAAAAGATTATAAAATGTTCTACTATAAGGACACGTGCACACGAATGTTCATTGCAGCACTGTTTACAATAGCAAAGACCTGGAATCAACCCACATGCCCATTGATGATAGACTGGATTGGGAAATGTGGCACATATACACCATGGAATATTATGCAGCAATCAGAAATGATGAGTTTGTGTCGTTTGTGGGGACATGGATGAATCTGGAGAACATCATTCTCAGCAAACTGACACAAGAACAGAAAATGAAACACCGCATATTCTCACTCATAGGCGGGTGATGAAAAATGAGAACACATGGACACAGAGAGGGGAGTACTAAACACTGGGGTCTATTGGGGGGAAAAGGGGAGGGCCAGTGGGAGGGGGAGGCAGGGAGGGATAGCTTGGGGAGAAATGCCAAATGTGGGTGAAGGGGAGAAAGGAAGCAAAATACACTGCCATGTGTGTACCTATGCAACTGTCTTGCATGTTCTGCACATGTACCCCAAAACCTAAAATGCAATAAAAAATTAAAAAAAAAAAACCCTTTTACCCAAGAACAATACATCTGGTGAAAATATCCTTAAGACATGAGAGAGATAGAAAGACTTTCCCAGAAAAACAAAACATAGGGATTTTTTATATTTATTTTAATCATTCTATTTTATTTTTTCATAATTCTAAGTACATTCTAGGCAAAGAGATATCATTATCAACAAAAGTGTCCTTTAAAAATGCTAAAGGGAGTACTTTAATAAGAAAAAAGAGAACATTTATGAGCAATAAGTAGTTACCTGAAGGTGCAAAACTCACCGGTAATAGTAAGTACACAAAATAACACAAAATATTATAACACTATGACTGCCATGTGTAAACGATAATCCTAAGTTGTAAGACAAAATTATAAACTAATCAAAAATAATACCTACAACAACATTTTCAAGATATATACAGTAAAATAACATATAAAAAGAAACAGGAATAACTTAAAAATGAGGAGGACAACATTAAGGTTAGAGATTTTATTAGATTTCTTTTTGCTTCTTTGTTTATGCACAGTGTTAAATTGTTATCAGCTTAAAATAATTCCTTGTAAGATGGTATTTGCAAGCCTCCTAATAACTACAAACAAACAAACAAAAACACAACAGACATAATAAAAAATTAAAAGCAAGAAAATAAATCATATCACCAGAGGATCACCTTTACTAAATGGAATGACAGGGAAAAAAAAAGTAAAAAAAAAAAAAAAAAAAAACAGAAAAAAAATAATAAAATGGCAGGAGAAAATCCATACTTATCAATAATAACATTGAATGTAAGTGGACTGAACTCTCCAATCAAAAGACAGGGATAAGGCCAGGTGTGATGACTCACACCTGTAATACTAACAAGTTGGGAGGCTGAGGCAGGTAGATCACCTTCCTCAGGAGTTCAAGACCAGGATAGCCAACATAGTGAAACTCTGTCTCCCCTAAAATACAAAAATTAGCCAAATGTGGTGATGCATCTCTGTCGTCCCAGCTACTCAGGAGACTGGGGCAGGAGAATCACTAGAACCAGGGAGGTGGAGGTTGCACTGAGCCAAAATGGTACCACTGTACTCCAGACTGAGTGACAGAGCAAGACTCAGTCTCAAAAAGCAAATAAAAAACCAGAGGTAAATGAATGAATTAAAAAAAACAGACACATTAATCTGTGGTCTGTTGCCTACAAGAAACGTGCTTCACATATAATGACACACATACACTGAAATAAAGGGAGGAAAAAGAATATTTTATGCCTATAATATCAAAAAAGGAACAGAAGTCAATATGCTTATATTAACAAACTAGATTTCAAGACAAAAACTGTAAGAGACAAAGAAGGTCAATATATAATAATACAGGGATCAATTCATCAAAAGAATATAACATTTGTAAATATATGCCCAACTTTAGAGCACTCAGATATATAAAAACATATAAAGCCAACATTATTAGATCTCAAGAGAGAGATAGACCCAAATAAAATAATAGCTGAAAGAGAAAAATTTATAGCTATAAATGCCCACATGAGAAGTGAGAAAAGACCTAAATTGACACCTTATTGTCAAAATTTAAAGAGCTAGAGGAGCAAGGTAAAAAGCACTCAAAAGCTAGCAGAAGATGAGAAATAACTAAGATCAGAGTAGAACTGAAGAAGATAGAGAAACACAAAATAACTCTTCAAAATATCAATAAAACCAAGTGCTGGTTTTTTGAAAAAATCAACAAAACAGACAGTCCACTAGACAAACTAATAAAAAAGAAAGGGGAGAAGAATCGAATAAATGTAATAAAACATGATAAAGGGGATATCACCACTGAGGCCACAGAAATACAAACCACCATGAGAGATTACTACAAACAACTCTATGAACATAAACCAGTAAATCCAGAAGAAATTAATAAATTCCTGCATTTACATCCTCCCAAGATTAAACCAGGGAGAAGTTGAATGCCTGAATAGACCAATAACAAGATTTGAAGTTGAGGCAGCAATTAACAGTTTACCAACCAGAACAAATCCAGGTCCAGATGGGTTTACAGCCAAATTCTACCAGACATACAAAGAGGAGATGGTACCATACCCTATACCTTCTGAAACTATTCCAAACAATACAAAAAGAAGGAATCCTCCCTAACTCATTTTATGAGATCAACATCATCCTGATATCAAAACCTGGTAGAGACTCAACTAAAAAAGAAAACTTCAGGCCAATATCCATGATGAACACTGATGTAAAAATACACAATAAA